TCTGACTTAGGGGCCATGAAACTCACATCATAACTGTATATTTAGTTTCTTTGCTTTATAACCAGGAGAGGAAAAGAATACTTTTAAAGAAATAATGCTTTTTCACTATATAATCAATAGAGCCCCCCCCCCAACCCTGGGGCCATGAATTTCACAATTTTGGAAAAGGCATCAATGCTTATCATAACCATGCACTTAGTTTGTTTAAATAATATCCAGGAGCAAATAAGACTTTCACAAAATTAATGCATTTTCACTATATAATCAATAGAGCCCTGCCCTAACACCAGAACCCCTGACCCAGGGGCCATGAATTTCACAATTTTGGAAAAGGCATCAACGCTTACCATAACCATGCACTTAGTTTGTTTAAAGCAATATGAGCTGCAGTTTTGAGAATTTTATTTTGCTGTTAAAATGTGCTGTTATGATAAATTTGTATGTGATTTAAACCTTTATGATCAATTAGACTAAAATAAAGTATTTTTTTTTTCAGAAGAAAGGTTTCTGTACTATGGAATGTATAGTATTATATAAGAAAACAATATTGTATAGGACGACAATAATGTAGTTTTGCTTCAATCAAAGCTTCTAAATAGTTCTTCCATCGCAAATATGAACAACAGAAGTTTATAAATGCTCTTTTTTTCTGTCATTGAAATTGTTAATTACAATTTTGCCACAAAAATTTCAGACATCAAATTTGCAGCTCATATTGCTTTAAATAATATCCAAGAGCAGAGAAGAAGATTTTCAAAGCATTAATGCATTTTCATTATAGACATGTAATCAATAGAGCCCCGCCCTAACACCAGAACCCCTGACCCAGGGGCCATGAATTTCACAATTTTGGAAAAGGCATCAATGCTTATCATAACATGCACTTAGTTTGTTTAAATAATATCCAGGAGCAGAGAATAAGATTTTAAAAGAATTAATGCATTTTCACTATATAATCAATAGAGCCCCGCCCTAACACCAGAACCCCTGACCCAGGGGCCATGAATTTCACAATTTTGGAAAAGGCATCAATGCTTATCATAACCATGCACTTAGTTTGTTTAAATAATATCCAGGAGCAGAGAAGAAGATTTTCAAAGAAATAATGCACTTTCACTATATGATCTATATAGCCCCGCTCTAGCACCAGAACCTCTGACCCTGGGGCCATGAATTTCACAATTTTGGTAGAGGGCCCTATGCTTATTACAATCATGCCAACAGTTTGACTGCTTGATGTCCAGGAGTAAAGAAAAAGATTTTTAAAGATTGCATCAATTTTGGTGGTTTTAGCCCCACCCTGGGGCCCCAGGGGGGCAGGGACCATGAAATTTTTGTCCCCCTTCACCCAAAGATACTATATGCCAAAATTGGTTGAAATTGGTTAAGTGGTTCAAGTGGTTCAAGAGAAAAGTTGAAAATGTTCAAAAGTTAACGGACGACGCATGACGATGGACAAAAACGGATAGCAATAGGTCACCTGAGTGACTCAGGTGACTGAAAATACTTAATTTTTTGAGTCATATGTCCATTTAAATCCCTTGAATTCCAAAAAGACATACTTCTTCCTAATGTAGCCGATATTATTCTAGAAAAATCCAACTAAAAGCCACTACCAATATACCCCCCCCCCCCCCTTCTCAAACTGTTTAAATACATATTAAGCTAATTGACTGCATCATTGTTTATTTTTCATTTAGATTATTTTTTATACATCTATATATTCACAACAAAAATCTTGCCAACAGTGTATATGCTATCAAGCTTAAATAATAACGAGGCCAATGGGCCACAATGCTCACCTGAATAACTGTGACCTTTCTTTCTTTTTCATCAACAGATTTTACATATTCTTACGTAAAACTATGATTGCCTATTGTGGCCCCACCCTACCACCCAAGGGTCATGATTTGAACAAATTTAAATATACACCACCTGTGGATGCTTACATATATGACCAATTTTTCTTCCGTTTTCCCATGTAAAACTTTGATTGCCCATTATGGCCCGAACCTACCCCCTGGGGTCATAGTTTAAACAAATTTGAATCTACCTTACTTGAGAATACTTCCAAATAAACATGACTAATCATGACTTTGCTGTTTCTGGGAAAAAGACTTTAAAAGAATTTTTCTCCTTTTTCTTATGTAAATTTTTGATCACCCAGTGGCCCCACCCTACCCCCTGGGTCATGATTTGAACCAACTTGAAACTACACTACCTGAGGATGCTTTCATATAAGTAAGACTAATCATAGCATTGCTCTTCTTGAGGAGGAGATTTTTAAAAGATTTTTCCTATATATACCCATGTAAAACTTTATTTGCCCATAGTGGCACCACCCTATCCCCAGGGGTCATGATTTGAACAATTTAGAATCTACACTATGTCAAGAACATTTCACATAAGTTTCATTTTTTCTGGCCCAGTGGTTCTTGAGAAGAAGATTTTTAAATGATCCCACCCAATTTTAACTTTTTCTAACTATCTCCTCTTGGAAAAGCTGTGGCCCTTTATTTGAAAAAATTTGACCCCGCCGCCCTTCATTCAAAAAAACTTCGCCAAGTTTGGTTGAAATTGGCCCAGTGGTACTGGAGAAGAAGATGAAATTGTAAAAAGTTAATGCCAACGACATCAACAATGACGACGACAACAAAAGACAATGCATAAATTTTGATCAGAAAAGCCCACTTGAGCCTTCAGCTCAGGTGAGCTAAAAATCTATAAAGTAAAATGTATTGTGTACTCCTCAGGATAATATGATAAGGAAAAGTGAACAAAGAACTATATTACATAAAAGCACATTTCTGCCCCCATAAAAGTCAAATTTTGAAAATCTCTTGAACTGTGCACAATTGCATATATTGTATACAAAATCTGAAAAAAAATTAAGGGAGGTAGATTATTGACAATTTTTGTTTCTATGACATCACAAACTATGAGGAGTTTCCGTTACATGTATTTCTAAGAAAGAGGACAAAATCTGTTCAGTTTTGACTATAGTATTTGTACATGTAAAGCATAACTTTTCTCAGGTACAATATTCATGTGTTTCATTGATATTATCATTCTACACATAAAAAAAAAATGATTGAATCTGAGTAAACAATATTCATCTGTTTCATTATCATTCTACATATTACATCATATGATTGAATCTGAGCAGTCCTCAATAAATTCTCATCAAAATATAGACGTAAAATAAACTATTTTCTCTCGAAATCATTAAAAGATTGAATTTAAGTTATTTTCTTGATGTCATATCTAACTTACGATGTTATGGTTGATAAAAATGTTTAGTGCTTTAATATCCAGATATCTCCCTGGTTTATAACCTGATTAAAGATTTATTCATCAAAGTTTATTTTGGGGGCAGAAATTGGCCATTACAGAATTTAGTCCTTTGTATTTCCAATTGTACAGTCTGTAATATATTGTAAAATATCTGTACTTAATTAATTTAGTTAGGATACCACTATAAAATTATAAATAATTTTTTTTAATGATTAAAAATTAGCTGATTTTTGGGGGTCCTCAAAATAAAAATACACCATTGATTTGACAGCAGTCATATATAGTCATGATACCTTGAAAGATTCATGAAAAAAGCCAAGAAAAGAGATTTTCGACAAGGGGCTTTATAATACATGTACACACTACTTCATAAACAATTCATAATGTTTGTTAAGCAAGCATTTTTATAGTAAGAATATTCACACAACTGACAATTAATATGGAAGATTTATGAAAATTATCCACATTTAGAAAAACAAAAGAAGGTAATCCCATCCCAATATATGTAATAAAAATCCATAAGATACATACAGGAATCTAAACTGAAATCATTATAAATTGAACTGTTTGGGTATATAACATACATGTACTTGCCATCTAACAAACATATTAATGATTGTAATTTGATATTGTAAAATAAATGGAATCTTCAGTTTGTTCATCTCAGAGAAACTTTAATACTTTAAAATGACTCTACAGAGCACTTTTAACTCATCCACAAACAGGCACACTCATAAATCATCATAAAAGCTGATTAATAATTTAAACATTACATGCAGCAAAGGTAAATATCACATAAAGCACCAAAAATCTGGACAAGTAATACAAACATTGCACTATTTCTACATCAGACATGGCACAGCTACCCTAAAACATGTTCTGATTATATGTATTAGCATTATATTGTGCATTGTTCTATGTCAAATGAAATAAATAATAAAGTTGATGGTGATGAGGCCCTTATCCCTGGGTTATGTCCCTTGGGTCTAACTATTATGCATTGCATCCAATAGCACTTGAAGTTATCAATAATTTAAATAAATACAATACTCTTGACTACAACTACATTTATAATTATATAGTTAAACATTATATAAAAGTTAAAACTTGTTTGGTGGAAACATGCATGGTTGAGAAAATTTATAAGATTATTTCCATCACTGGATTACGTAACACACAATGGTTACCATGGTATAAAAAAATTTGAACGAGCTACAACACGTTAATCAAATTTTTTCTGTACATCAAAATGATGGTTACATGTATGTCATAAAATCATTCAACTAGAACATCCCACAAAATTTCAGATCACAAGTTTCAATTATTTCAATAAATGTATAAAGCCTAGCAGATCAAATTACTGTCAATGGAAACTTACAATTATTTTACCCGACTTTAAATAAATAATATCTTATCTATCTTATCTTATAACTTTAATTATCAGAAGTCTCTGACAAGACGGAAGCTCTACTTGTTTGACCTGAAACGGACTGGTTTATTTGTGGTTATTAGATTTCTCATCAGAATTTTTAATTCTGAATTTTAAATGAATAATAACAATATTCTTTATTCATACTGAATAGATTGAAACATACAGCATGCTAAAAAAATTTGTCTATTTTCAGTAATCTCAGAAGAACTTTGAAAATAAAAGTCAATATATAAAATTTTATATCTAAATCTAATCTACAGTTTTGCTACCAGAAAAACACCATAGGAGGAAAAACGTTTTCGAACAATTTAAGAGATTATTCTATAATAAGTAACCATGGTATAACATCATTTATAAAAATTGATGAGCTGAATAATGTTCATTGATGTATAATTACATATAAATCATTTTAACTATGTTCTGCTGAAATATTTTATGATAAAAACTGTATAAGAGTTCGTATTTTGAAAACTGTTTACAAAGACACAGAGAGGCAAACAGACAGGTGGAGAAAAGAACACATTACCTATGTCATCAGTTAAAAGAATTTGCTAAATGTATTTGGCATATGATAAGATAAATTCACAAACAAAAAATATTTATCACAATTTTAAAATAATCCCTATCACCAAGGCAGACATGTTTGTTTATATTCACACTATGTTCTATGTCTGTGAGGCCACCCATGTTTACCGCCAAGTAACCATGAATCATAGTGCATTTTTGTATTGCCAAAGCAGCTATTTATAGACTTCATCACTCCCTGATCAATCTGATAATACAGGAACCTTGGAGTGTAGCCATCACGTATTGACCGACACACGGTCACCAGACGTGGTCTGTGCCATGATTTCAGGTTGGTCAGAAACTTGAGCAACAAGGAGGTTCTCTTCACGGTCTCATTCTTGGTCGGCCTGTGGGTGAGAACCATAGAGTCAGCTGGTGTATTGGATCCCATACAGATTTGAAATCCTGGGTTGGTCAGAGGTAGGTAAGAGTTGAGCGTAGTTGTTAGACAGAAGCCAATCTTTTTAAGCATGGAGATTTGTTTGGCATTCAGGTGTCCAAAGAAGAGATCTACCAATTGATTGAGAAGATTCTCCGATTCTTTACTCTTTTTCTCACAAGACACTCTGTTTCCCTGATGCCAGAGATACTGCTTTAACATGTCTAACGCTTCTCTTCGTGCCTTATCTTTGCATTTCTTGTAAGAAATTTGTTTATTTTGTGGTTTTGATTTACAATCGAGTGCGACTAAGAACAAATTTAGAGCTTTCACTAGAATTTTGTCTGTATCTTGTTCTTGTTTGACAGATTTTGGACAAAACAATTTCCACAGGACACCATTCATTATCTTTAATGATGCCACTGGCATCCCCAAGTCGACAAGGGGCTGGGACACATGTGTACAGCCAAAGTAATCCAAGTCCACATCCAGCATAACAGGGTCCTGCTTCGGAATCCATTCACTTCTGGACATCCGGCGAATTGCCTCCTCTTCCCTCAATGATTCCAACACAAACTCTCTCTTGATATTACACAACGATGGCTTTATCGTTTTCTCTGTACCCAAATTCAGAAGTCCTTCATGAGGGAATGGAGTGTAACTACATTCCTTGATATTGGACTGGTTTTTGGTGCACGTACAGATAACTTTTTCTTTGAGTGCCTCCCCAGACCTGACAGTAGCCATTCCTACTCCTCCCCAAACCTTTTCATACACCCCTTCATGGTTTTCTTGGTCCCACTTGGGCCAAACCCAGATAATTCTTTTCAACATACCTGTCATGATGGATTGCTGAAAAACAGAAAAAAAGCTGCTAACAATTTGTATTGAAATCTTACTCTGAAATTGTGTATCTTTCCATTACCATATATATCAAAATCACTATATAAATACAGTCAAATCTCGATCATTATCTCAAACTCAATGGGACTGAGAAAAAACTTTCAAGATATCCCAGGGTTCGAGATATTGAGGGTAAAATATTTAAGAAATATGTGGTTAGAACTTCCCAATCACTTCGATATATCCATAGTATTCAAGATATCCCTGTTTGAGATACAGAAGTTCAAGTGTACATTGTATTTAACTGAACAATGTACAACACTTTCATTCATGAAAACTTTATAAGATACAACTGTACATTGTACTTGTATCTTATAAAGTTTTCATGAATGAAAGTGTTGTACATTGTTCAGTTAAAAAGAGATACTAATTCGTATAAACGTACATATTAGCTCTGATTATATTTTTCAGATGTACAAGTCTCAAACAATTGTAACCAGAGTGGACAAAATTGTGACAGACCAGACCAGGCCCCCTGAATCACCAGTCAGGTGCTCTACCAACTGAGCTATCTGGCCACTGGCGATCAAACCTGTCTGACTGCCATATTCCTCACCCCTTAAATGTCCTTGCTGCCAGAGACACCAACCCAGGATCTTCCATGGCAAGTTTTTTCACCTGTCACTTTCAGGGCACGGCACAGCACCAAAAATTACCAGCCAGGAGAAAAATGTTATGGACCTGACCAAGATTCAATCCCGGGCCCCTTGAATTCACTAGTCAGTTGCTCTACCAACTAGGGCTGGGCAATAATACCGATATTCTGGTATATTGTGGTATGTTGACAAAAAATATCGTATTGCAATACATTTTTGTAATACCAATATACCGGCAAAATGCTTGGACACAAGAATTCTATCATAAAATTTAAAGAAAAGTTGTCGGAAAGGTTTGCGATCATGTCAAACAGTAAGACAAAAGCTGTTGAGTGGGTGTATTTAGTTGCATAACTGTAATTCAATCAACAAGATATCTTTTATTGGTTATTATTTATCATAGTTATTACATTCTACATGTAAAAGGAAGTTATAATAAATAAATATTATAGGAAAGTACCATTTAAATTTTTGTTGAAAATATTGCAATACACATCGCAATACTGTTAAAAATATCGCAATACATTGTATATCGCAATACAAAATCTCTAGCCAATACCCAGCCCTACTACCAACTGATCTATCTGGCCTCCAGCTATCAAACCTACTTGATCTTCACACAATTATAGTGTATACTAAGCATTTATCTTTAATGTAGCTTGAAGCTACCTACAACAATAAAGACATCGTTTCTCTGCATCATCATGTTGATTTCTCTACTGTCCTTTGGCATTCTGAAGATTGGATATCCAGGGAAGTAGAAGGGTGCGGCCATGTCTGAGTGACCATCAATATGAATCTGAATACAGAGGGATCAATGTATCATTAGAACATTTAATTTTTACCTAAAGAGATTCATTAACTGCAGGATTACTGAACTTTTCAAATTCAAAAATTGATATCATTCAGTAATCCAAGCACATTTTTTAATACAAAGATTTATGCTTACCAAATGAGCTACAAAATTTTAAAATATGCCAAGTCTGTTTATACATGTATGAAAATCAATTAGAGTTAGGTGTTATGGCAAATTATGAAATGACTTCAATGCAATTTTCCTTTGAAGAATTTCTTAACCATATAGCATTTTGAACAGGTGTTTTGTAGTATAGTGTATTTTTCTCCAATAAAAAAAGCACTTGTATCAAATGTTTCACTAAACATCTGTCAGCACTATAAATCAAAAATTGTTTGCACAAACTCTTGATTTTATCAGAAAAAAATTTAGACAGCATGCTATTAAAGGTTTGCTGCATATATAACTGTTGGTAACAGCTTTAATTATTAATAAAAAGAAATATCATAAATAAGCAAGACATAATCAATTCTGAAATTTTAACTGACATACCAGAACATTGCCGTGTGGTTTCAGAGTTCCAGATTTAACTGCATTCATCCAGATGGGGATCACTACAATTATAGGCAAAATCTTTAAAGCCATGATGTTCTATACAGTAGTTACATACATTCCTTCTCAGCTGACCTGTAATGACCCTCCATTATTACTGTGGCTGATGACCGACCCACCATCCCCCACTCAACCTCACCCCCTCCTCCCCCAGACTATAGCTTCTCATTACATCAGCTGTTCTTGATAATGTGAACCAAAGACCTTGTTCCAAAAGTAAGGCTCATGTGTTGTCATCTATAGGTGACAGATTATCCTATGGACCTGTTTTAATGATAGAATTCATTCCGAGTGCTTGCAGTTTAGCCAAATAAACATGAGCATATAGGTCTTATCTACTGGTGTAATACAATGAACACTGCACAGAATAACGAATGTCCAGTCTCTGATTAAAATCAAACCTTCCACTAGCTCCTTTATTTTGATGTTCACGAGCGACAAATCAATTTAAAAAGAATGAGATGAAAGGTCTAATTTTAATTAGATTGAACGAATGTCAATATGGTGAATAAATTTGAAACTGATGCACTCAAAAAAGGATTTTCATTATTCATTATATTCTTTAAAATTGTGACAGACAGACCCACCCGACCCCCTTACATTACAGATATATGGGGCAATTTTTAAATTAAAAAAAAAAATATTCATCTCTATCCATTACCATAATTATATTAGTATCAAGAGAGACAGACATGCATAGTTCTAATCTTTGTATCACTTATGATACCCAGGACTCTGGCTTTCGAGACTTTTCATGAGTGAGAAGTCTCGAGAGCCAGAGTCCAGGGAGAAAAGATTAATTCTTATATAAATTATATTTGACAAGGTGGTCAAGGCCATTTGAACTGGGGAGGGGGTCACCACTCCCTTGCTCTTTTTTGGAAACTTCATGTCTTGTTTGTGGCAGTGCAAAAATTATGGATATTAATTAAGACATGCTACACATGTAAATGTATAGAGCACAATGCAACAAAAACATTTTGCTTATCAAAATATTTTCCATTGTGGCTGTCAGTGCCCCAGTCAGTTCAATCTCAATGCCCCCCCCCCCAAAAAAAAATCAACATAGAATAAAAAAGTTTTAAGTTTTGAAGCAGGTTCATCAATGTTATACTTTACCTTGATGGTGCTCTTCTACCACATGGACAGGCAGTTTAGATTTACTGGTCCAATTTTTCCATTTATGATCCACATGGTTACTGTGTAACCCCCGGATCCTGCGATGACGATTGGCCACAAGGTTAAATGTGGTAGAACTGGCTTTGTTGTACTGTAAGAGTTTGACATAAGTGATGACAAACGCTGTCACCACTGTCAGGGCGACAAGGTTCCCTGCCAGATTTCGTCTCCAAGTCACCCGCATTTTGGCCTTCAAACAGCGTATAAAACTTCTTACCATGAATTTAACTTTCACTAAATTAAACAAATCTACATCTCTAATGAATAATATTGCTTGTGTTAGGTAATGTCCATTTTTTTCGTCAACACTCTTTGCAAAAACTGTCAACAAGTTCCAAAGAGAGTTGTCGTTCTTAGAGTTCCGACGGTAATGGATAAGACGTACTCATTATTATTCGAACAGAACACTTTAAAAAAATGAATGCCAGAAACTAAATGTCTAACTCTTTCTTTGATAGTTTACATAATTAAAAGAAAATAATTTAAAGAATAAATTTATGGTGTTTAAAATTTTTGTTACATTATTGAGTCAGATTGACAAGTTTCAAAATTATTGTAAGATGAGGCTCATTCACTGAATGTCTCATAGGCCTATATCATGTATGTAAAAGTAATAGACATTGCCTTGTACAAGGACACAACACACAATATCAGGTGCCCAGTTAAACCAGTTACCTTTGGGGTACTGGTCACACCTGACTACTATTAAGCCAATTAATCATTCACCTACAAGTGTGTAGTATGTACAATACAAATCCTAGCTTAAGTCTCATATCCTGACTTATAAACTCAAATCCAAGAACTGATCTCAGATTCAATTCAATTAAAATTACATGAATGATCCCATTTCTTTTCTTTTTTTTTATTATTATTCCTGATAAAATAAAAATGGAGAGCAGATCGATGGAAGATCTAATTTTATTAACAGATTTGAATTATTAACTGCATGTTTTTATTACAGAATTTTAGTTATTTCACCTTTACCGGGACAACCATTTGATAATGAAGGAGGGTGTGTGTGTGTGTGTGTGTGTGTGTGTGTGTGTGGAGTTTTTCGAGTTTCGATTCTTTATAAGATAATCAGGGACACTTCTACACTGAAAAAAAAAGTAGGAAAACTCCAAAATTTCAACTATTTCCTGGGGGATAGTAGCACAAGGCATGGACATAATAATGAAAATAAAAGAAGTTCAGTATCAAAAGTTTTATTAGAAAAATAAGCTTTATATGTGCATGCTTTTGTTTTGCTTCATTTTTCAGAATTCTAAACTATAATCAATGGGTGCTATAAATTCGTGTGTACATGTAAAGTGCTTAGATTCTTCTTTTATCATAAATATAAAAAAAAATCACATGTACATGATACAAAATAAAAATTATAAATTCATGCACTCAGTATAACGAATTTGCTAAAATATGCAGCTTTTAATCTGTAACCATGCGAAATAATATACATGTACATGATCGAACTATGCATACTGAACATGCACATCAAAATAAATTCAGACAATATGTTGGTGAAAATATGAATTGTAGAATATCATAATTCTAGCAATTTCCTCAAAATAACATCCAAAAAAGTTGAACACTGACATCTTCATGTATTTAATGACATAACAATTACTGCCAAAAGCTACTGAATAAATGTGTAAATTAATTTAAACCGAGTCTTTCTGACTGGCAGTGTTCATAAGGAAGCTGTTGAACAAGATAATAATAATGAGACTGGATTTATATAGCTGTGGAGTATGATTTTTTAATTCTAACAGATTGATAAAAATTAATGAAAATAAAATATTGGTAATATCTCTCTCAATAAACTCAATTTAGTGGAACCATCTTCTTTGTTCCAAAAGTACACTTCACAAATGTGTTGTCAGAGGATGAACACAAAAGTAATACAGCCATTTAAATACAACCATACAAACCATAAATCTTACTTCCTAAATTATATTTATAATTAAAACTAAGAAATATGAAATAATATAGTACAACAGTTTTAATTGTGAAACAATCAGTTTAACATAACCAAGAACCAAATAAAAGATAAACCATGTGTATTAAAAAAAATTAAATCCCACAATATGCAAAACTGAACAGTCCAACTTGCAATATATACAAGTCAACATACAGTTATGCAATAATATTTACATTTCCAATGTCTTTGTCCGAGATAAAATTACAAACTGTAAAAATACTTTATTTCTACATAAATCTACTGGTTCATCGATAGGCGCGGTTAAAAAAAATCACGTGCGGGGCGGGACAAATAGAGACAGAAGCGGGGCTATTAGCACGGGAATTTGCAGAATCAGGAGCATGTAAATATAAGGAATAACTGTCAGATTTTTTGGATTCATGACGATGATCAATCGATTGGCTTGCGTGATAATTTTATGCATAAACGCCTTCGGCGTTTATGCAAATTATCACGCAAGCCACTCGATTGATCACATCATGAATCCAAAAAATAAGACAGTTATTCCTTAATTCAACATTAAACATGTAAGGATGTACTGCATGTGCATAAAATACAAGCAAACAAAAAAAAAATACTAACAGATTCCACCCATCACTGAAGGATTGTTTATGAATCTATATTATACAATCCATTACCAAAGATAAGTTAACTAAAACAATATTTATTTATAAAAAAACTGATTGGATTGGACAGACTACTGGCAATGCCTATAGTATAAATACCTCTCCATAGAAAAAATATACCCAGATAACATATTATCAAATACATGTACCATACGTGCCAAACGGTCATAATTTAGTTCATTATTTTATTGAGAATATATAAGTTCATTCATAATAGAGTTATTATATAAAAATTGAGATTTTGGAAAATACAAAAATGCATTGAATAACAAAACTATCAGATTTTGATCTTCTAACTGAATATGTTGGGCCCAATATAACGATTGTGTAAAGTGTATTACATATAAGCACTGGTTGACAGACAATTATATGTACATTAGTTTAGACAAGACCAATACAATGCACCAAGTACACAATGATGATCCATAGCATTAAATCTAATTAACTTTTCATAAAATTTAACTGCTTCCTTTGACTTTACACTGTTTTTCTTGTGAATGATAAAAAAATAAGACAATTAGTGAAAGGCACATTGTCTTTCCAGTTATTACTGGTAACCACAGACAGTCCTGTTATTTGGAATTAAATGGAATGGAAGTTTTAAAAGACAATTTCTGCAAAAATTACTAAAATGTGCTCCCCGAATTAGTAAAGATCTATATCTATAATTGTACTATTTGTCTATCCTCATACTCACGCATGCTAAAATTTGTTTTTATTTGTCATCATTATTTACATTTATATCTCTGTATACAATTGTAAAATTGTGAAGAGATTAATAAATTCAGTTCAGCAGAGCCATGTTTTGTAAAAATGCACAGACCTAATGTATTAATTTATCTAACAACATGTATTGAAGAGAGATCAAAGAAATTGTGTCATGAATTTCTGGATTGTCCGGAAAATTTTTCAAGAAACCATTACCGTATTTATCAAATACAAGTAGTTAGCAAAGAACAGTCTCTGGCATGTTAAAAATCTTACTGAAGAAATTTCACATTACATGCACTATTTTTGTAACACATACATTTCTCTCTGTCCAAAAACATAATAAATTTATATATGTATATCAGATAAGTTTCCCCCAAAGCTTTAAATGCATAATTTTGCAGAAATTGGAATAGTCCAAATCTGACACTTAATGCATAAATGTTTCCTGTTTCTTTATATAGATATATACTGAAAATTCCCCAACCACAGGTATAGACTAATACATTAATTGTCTCATGCATACAAGTACATGTATATGATTATATAGTACATACAATGATTGTTCTGCATTATTGTTTCCTGCACTTTATTCCCATAACATCCTATTTTGAACACATGACTTTGCAGTGGCTCTATAAACATTATCATACATTCAGTGATAATAAAATAAGGTTATTGAAATAGCACCATTGTGAAAGAATAAAGGGTAAATATATCACAAGTTTAGAAATACTGACATAGTTACTACATGTATTCATCACAGTAAAATGACACAAAAATGAGAAAACAAGGTGAATTGTTCTTTACAGCAATCAAACATTTTCATAAAGTTCTGCTTTGCAGAAGTGAATACTTACATCATGTACCATTTGTGGATCTTGCACACTTATGTGAACACAATCTCATCACCATAATGACAGAAATCTATCAATTTACTTATTTTCAGACTAGGAAGGGTAAATTCATTGTATACTGTAAATGTATTGAATTTGGCAGAAAGCTGTTTCTGCTAAATCAAAAACATCACTAAATGTCTTGTTCAAACATTTATATATATTTATATCAAGTGCATTCAGAAAGTGCCAAATCAAATCTACGTTAACTTGCTGAAAAAATTAATTTCTGCCAAATATCATACACAGCAAGTATAATACAATTACAGTAATCTGATAATGCAGGCATTAATAAGTTACATGTACCGCAATGACAATTTATTTTGTTGTTCAATTTGAAAAAAAATCATGATACAATAATCTTTAACGAGGAACCATAGTATAAAAACTGAGGGAAAAAAATTTATATCATTCTTTTCTTGATTTTTTGTGATGTTTGATTTACTCTTAACTTGCTTAAAAAACAGATACCTGTACAGTGTAGAAATAATTAAAAGTGTCCAAGTTCTTTTAAAGACACTAATGTCATAAAAAAGAATATTCAAGCAAGAACAATAAACTTTTCATCTGAAGTCAGATACAGCCTACTCCACTTATATTGAAATCGCCTATTCTGAAATATCACTTACTGGGTATTTTGAGGTAAAGTATTGACCCACTGAGCTAATAATGAGTTTTTTTTATAACCATTATATATTGAAGTTCTCTTGGCCAGTCATCGTCACAATTCGTAATTATACAAGTAGATGCTAGATGTTAGCAGACATATTTTCTCCTTATATGTTTTCATTGTGCAATTTTATAATAAATTATTAGAGTTACATGTATCTCATTCTTGCTGATCATACATGAACACACATTGTTACAAGAAAGAAAAAAAAAACATCCTTTTTGGATAATGAAAATGAATTAATATCTGCCATAAATAAAAATGTGAAAATCTAAATCAGAATTAGCAAAGGATTTTGGGATAAATCCTTGCAAACTAGCAATGTTATACATGTAGCATGCTGCTAATGTTGGAGGCAGCCTTTGAGTCTAGCAATCTTTCTCCTAAACAAAAAGGAATATGACTTGGAATATAC